TACATGGTTCTGTCTTGGCAGCAAATGCTGGTGCCTTGTTATCCTTCCTCCATTTCTGTTTTTTGAAATAGTGTTCAGAGGGCCACTTTCATCTCCTCCAAGCATGGCCCCACTGCCCCTCTCCCACCTCAGCTTTTCTTCCCCTTCTAGAACAGTGGCCTTTTACTTTTAATGGATTTTTCTCCCTTCTTATCAGTTTTGACTTAATTTTCAATCCATGATGGTACTTTTTATCTGATGTCTGCCAAGTTTGTTTCATTCTTGGAAGGGGCTTTATCAAAAGATCATTTGTAAGCATGTATTTACTATAGGCCCTACTAATTCGTGATCAGATTTTTGGAAGCTCACATAAGTCAGCTGCCTAGTGGGGCATGATTTAACTTTGCAAGAAGGCACTCTAACAGTGCTCAGTGCTTCCTGCACTGGGTGCTGGTCCGTCAGTTCATAGCCCCCATTTTCCTAGAAGACCTGTGCTGTGCCCAGTCAGCCTTTTTGGCAAATGCAGCTGCTCCCTGGAGTGGAGTTGCAGGGAGGACACTGGGGCTCTTGTCCTTTGCGTTGTGGGGAGCAGCAGCAGGGCTGGTGATGGAGATGAGGGGTGCTGACTGTGGCTGTTCCACAATGCATTGTGTTTTCTAATTCAAACCGTTGGTCCAGGTGCCACACAGAGCAAAGCCCTGGTACTGGCAGCTGTGCTGGGTGTTGAGGAAGCTGCAGTGGGCACCATCATCCATCCCTGTGTTTGGGGGCAGAGGCCAGCAGGAAACACCTCAGTCTGGTATGGGGCTGCCCAGGCCTTCCTGGGGAAAGCAAAGTGCTGCAGTTGAAATGCCAGTTCCTGATAGACTGGCCGCATGGGAAAGCCATCCAAAAGCCCCTGGAGAAGCCCCCATGGTCCTCCCTCACCACCAGCTGAGCCTGTCTCTTCTCATTTGATGTCCTGCATCCTGGTGGCACTCCTTTGCCATGTTGGTTGGCGTCACTGCACAACACCAGTGATGCCTTCCCAGGGCAGGGACACCCCAGTTTAAGTCCCCCATGGGCAAGTATGAGCATTGGGACAGGGAGCTGATGGGCACCTCCAGGACATCCTGTCCTCTGGCTTTTGCCACTTTCCCCTGAGATAACACTGGAATAGTGTGTGTAAAGAGATGCATCCAGAAGCAGGACATGGAGCAGGAGGCTCAGAAGTGGAGGGGCTGGGGCGCCCCAAGATCAAGGCAGCCAGTGGGGCTGGTGCGATGCCTGAGCTAAGTGCCAGGTCCCACACATTTGGATCCAGATCTCAGATTACCAGTAGTTTAGCTTCCCAGTCTATCTGTGAAATGCTTCAAAGGATACTGAGAGTGTCTGCAAAGGGTGGTGGGAGCAACAGTGCCTGCTGAAGCTGGCAGAGAGGCTCCTGTGCTGCTGGGGCAGGCCGCAATGGGAATTTTACTGCTGATTCCCAGAGGAGCAGAGCTAGGCAAGTGCACAAAATCTTCCCAATCCAAGTTCAAGTGTATGAATTTACTGTGTCTAACGCCTCCCTGAAATCCAAACAGACTCGATTACATTCTCTCTCCGTAATGAATCAGTAATTATATTGAAGAACACTATTATTTGTTTGGCATGACCTATATAAACCCAACTTGGGGAGTGCATATTTGGTGCAGTGCCAGCGCTCTATGCCCTGCGAATTATTGCCTTATAAACATAACCATTGTTTGAATTTCAGATCAAAACAAAATGAGCCATATTGCTTGTCAGTTATTAGATATCTTTTTCCCAAATGCTCACCCAGACCATATTACAATAACAATAATTATTATTACATACTTCCTTATTATATGTTTGTGCCGAGGTAGCACATCTGCCTTTTTCCCACACGTTAGTAGCTTCTTCTGACTCTTATGATTCATTCCTGCTTGTTTCCCAATGTCCACGAGCTCTTTTTGTGTTCCTGGCTGCATTTCATCAAGACCTGCAGATTGGTGTAGGCACCCACAGTGCTGTACTGCACCAGGCCGCGAAGGGTTGCAACTGGCACGGGGGCTTCGCTCCTCAAGGGACCACACAAACACAAGAAAGACATGGACCCTGCCCCAGGTGCTTTATAAATATTTAACCTAGTCTGATAATGTGATAAGGACTGATAATATGATTTGGACAGACTAAAACCCAGCCTTGCTTGGGGAGGCCTGGAAGCGGACCCTCAGAAGATAAACTGGGGGGGACAGGACCCAAGCCAGGGCACAGTAGTGCTGCTGCCACAGCCACTGCCACAGCTGGGGGTAGGACTCACCTTTGTAACTTGGGACATGTAAAGTTTAGTTGTCAAATCCTCAAGTTGTTGATCTACATTTACAGTCACAGAAGAGAAGCTGTGCTTGGCTGCGGAGTGAGTCAGCCCTTCTCAAGATAAATGTGCAAGATAGGCGAGATGAATCACACACTGGAGGTGCCTATTTGTCTCCACTGACTATGCAAGAAGCCTGTCCAACTAAATAGGTTTAGACACCTAACTTTTAGGCACCTAAAATCAGGTGAGAGGAATCCCACCCTCATTGTTCTTCATTCCTCATTAGTGCCCTGACAAAGGAGGCGGTGGAAGAGGCTTCCTGGAAATGCCCTCCCAGATTTGGACCTGGCCAAACCCCTCCATCCTCTGTGCATGGGAATCTGCAAAGCCTCGCCTCTGTTCCTCCCCATGCAGCTCCTACGGGCATGGGGCGCTCCAGCCATGCCCAGCTGGCAGAGATGAAAGCGTGCTCCCTGCTGTGGTCTGAATGAGACAACGGTCTTGTGGGAAAAGATATAATAGTGGAACTGAAGTTGAACTGAAGTCTGTATCATAATGTATTCAGAGAGGGGGGGAGGTGGGGGGGGGCAAAAATGAAGTGAAAAAAAGACTTGACCTTGGCTTCTTGCCTGGTGCTAAAAGTATGTTTTGATGGAATGGCATAGGCGGGAAAGCAGGCTGTCTCCCCAGTGCAAATATATCATGGAGATGTAAGATGTGTGGAGTGCAACCCGTGTGTTTGGAAATAGTATTTTATTTACAGAGGGTTATAGCCAGGCCTGTCAAGAGGTGAGCTGCCACTAGCACAGCAAGCAGCACCTTCTCACACCAGCACTGCCTCTCGTGTCAGACAAACGGCATGACCTGAGAGGCTCCCAAGTAGTTTTAGATGTTCTCTTGAAAAGAAAAAGAAGAAAAAAGAAAAGAAAAAAGAAAAGAGAAAAGAAAAAAAGAGAAAAGATGAAAGCATTTTAGTTGTAGCACATTCTGTCAGGGCTAAAAATCATGGAAACATTCCACTGGTTGACATCTGAAGCAGTCAGTGAACCAGCAGCCAGGGCTGCTCTGGCTGGAAACATGCAGAGGCCAACAGAAATCAGTGCTGCATTATCACCCTCCTGTGTATAGGGCTGGGAGCATGGAAGTAAGATTTGAAAAAAAATTGTGGTGTTTGTGCTGAGATCTGTTCCTTGCCATGTCCCCATTCATTTCTGTGTCATGCACTAACCCCCTGTCGGCGCAACGTCATGGAAGCAAGCTGCAGCTTGCTTTTTTTTTTTGCTTTTTTTTTCTGGAACCTGCCAATAGTCACTTGAAAGCTTTCCTTAAACTGAATGACAATTTATTTAGGTGAGAGATAGCCCTGGCAGGCACAGAACCCTGTGCAGACCAGGCCAGGTTAAAGGTCCCTGGCAGGCACAGAGCCCTGTGCAGACCAGGCCAGGTTAAGGGTACCTACATGAAGCTCTACTCTTGCTGTACACCATCATCAGCCCCTGAGTTTGGGCCCAGCAGGAATGCTGGGGACCTTGGGACCACCATGTGCCTGGATGTGATCTGGAGAAAGAGGGTGCCAGCACCCAGCTGTGCAGGCTGTCCCATGTGGGTGGGCTTCCTGCGGAGAGAGGGACAGGGTACTGCTCTGGGGACCCACAGCAGGATGGCACACTGGTCTCCCTAGCAGCTGCTTCACAGCTCTCCTCTGCCAGTGGTGCACAACTTCTTGCTCCATCCCTCACCTTGCTGTAGCGGGGCTGGGGTGCTTTCTTGGCTCCCATTGCTACACCAGCAAGATGGAAATCCCTCCTCCAGCTTCATGCAGCTGTGGTGCACTCAGGGAGGAGAGATCAGACGAGATTTGCTCCTTGCCCTAAGGGGTTTGCAACTTCACTGCAAACAGGCAAACCCTGGCAAGAAGAGTGAGGTTTCTCTGCAGGAGGTGGTGAGCAGCAGGGAGCTCTGTGGTGCTGCGGGAGGGGGCTGCTGGGCTTTCCACAACCATGCAGCAGCCAGTCCTGGTGATGCTCTTTTCCTCCAGCCCCTTGAACCTATTATTTTCTGCACTGGCCTGTGTCTCAGCTCAGCTCCCACCCCAACACAGGCTGCACATGTCTGGATGCAGGTGGATGGACCCTGGGATGTGGCTGGGCCAGCCGCCTGACGAGCACTAAACACTAGCATGGGCTTGCTGTCCTGTTGTGTGGAAACAGATTAATTGCATTAGTATTTCCACTGGAAATTATAACTTGGATCCATTAAGCTCAGCCAAATTCCTTATCCTGCGTCTGCTGAAAGGATACCTCTGCTTTTTCCACTGCAGTATCTTGTCTGTGCCACCAGTGCCAAATTTGTGGCAGGCCAGTCACGTCCATATGACACTTTCAGAAGAGGCCACATACTACCCCTACCTCCCGTCTCCTCCCCTCAGTTTCCCCAGAGGTATCCCCACATCTAAGAAACACAAAATCCTCTTTATGAACAATCACATCAGATCCCAAACCCCATTACTAATTAGTAACAATGTCCCATAATTTAGATCACCTTGAATGGTCTTTAGGTCGTTCACAGGTGCAAAGTCAGAAGGATTAAGGGCTTATAATATTTGTCTGGCAGTGTAACTACCAATTCCAGCAAAAATAATGGAGCTAGCTTCTTGGGTTTCCTGCCACCACAAAGTACACACATGCACACACTCTCTATTTTATGAATGTTTACATACCCGAGCTGCCAGGAATCTTACTCCCGTTGCTTCCCACCACCTTAACACACTTTCCTGTATCTCTGCGAGTCTGTTTCCTCACCAAGCAGCCGGTAATATCCTTTTCGCTGGGGAGCAGGCGGAGGCCGGGCTTCCTCCGGTGCCAGAAAAGCCTGGCAGAGGGCGCACCTACAAGCTGTGGTTTCCATCCCGAGCCATTCACACCTCCCAGTGGCTACCCAGAGATGTTCCATGGACGGAGCGCAAGGCCCAAATAAAAGGAAGGATTAAAAAGTTAGGGACAGGCGGGGAATGGCCACACTGACATCCGCCTACCACCCCTGAAAGGCCGCAGCGTCTGAGGAGGTGCCTGGGTCGGAGAAAACTTCTACACCCGCCTGTGGAGAGGAGCAGAAAGGCACTTCCACACCTCCACCTCCAGGGGCACAGCCAACAAAAATAGCACTGGACCCAAAGGATATAAATAGAATAGCGGCTGGAGAAAGTTTCAACTCACTTTACACTGCCAGCAGAAATAAAGGCAGGAGGTTTGTCCTTCCTCCAGCTCCAGCCCCTGTACATCAGAATACCTCTGCAGAAAAGGCATGTCTATTTATCTGAAGATTCCCATGGGAGCATGGCAACGAAATGCCTAACTCATCTGAAACTCACAGGAGAAAATGTTGCTCTCGGCAAAAGCACTTCCCTTTCCTAACTTGAAACTTTGGGAATTGGGTGGTAGGAAGGGGAACAAACCAAACCACTACCCTCCACCTTGTTTTCAACAACTGAGGCTTTTTTGCTCTCGTGTTCTTGTTCAGTAACTCTGACACAAGTACACCTGCAGAGTTCCTATTGCCACTTCAGTCCAGGTGAAGACAAGTGGAGGTGTCTTAAGATAACAATCTCCTTCTGTTGCTATGGGAGCTGTAACATCACCAAATATATTTGTGGCGGAACTGGCACTTGGGTTCAGTTTATACCAGCTTCTCAAAGTAACCTCTTATTACCCTGACAGGGAGTTAAACTGCAGCCACCCCACGAGACTGCTCTCTAGCCTTTAGCAGAAGCCAGTGTGTGAACCCGTGCCCAGTGGGTAAGGGATGAGATGGTGGTGATTTGTACTTCCCATCACTGACCTCCTCCTGCCTGGCCCAAACTATCTGATGTTGCACAGCTAATCCCAAACCAAATTTGTGAGGTGCACCTCCAAGCCCATCAGGATTAGATGGAGTATAAAGCACAAAAGTAAACCCTACGTAAAAATAACTGAACTGGGTCAGATCAAAGGTCTGCTGTGGCCTTTCTCTTATCTCCAAGAGCAGCTAATGCTTGTGAGTTACAAACAGGGGAATGAGTGATACTTTTTCTGTGCATCGTCCAGCAACGTGCTGCGGAGGTCTGCCTTTGCCTTTAGTAAACCTCCAGGGACTTTTCCTCCATAAATTTGTTGAATTGCTTTTTTGACCCTTTTTATACTTTTGACCTCCACAGCATCATGTGCCAGTGAGCCCACAGTTTTATACACACACACAACTGGAAAAAATACTCCTTTGAACCTCCTGCCTTTATCATTTCATTCGCTACCCCCTGGTTCTTCCCTGTTTTCTGGCCATTCCAGCCCATTTCAGCTCTCTTTTGGGAAAGTGGTTCTTAATTCCTCTGTTAAATGTCTGCACAGGTCTGATGAAGGATCTCACTCCCCTGTATTTTTACACAAGTTTAGCATCTGCTTGCATTGGAACCAGGGAACAAGAATGCTTCAGAAGCTGCTCCTGCACTGAGGACAGACTTGGGAAGGGCTTGGAAAGCCCCAGAAATTTATTCCAGCTGTAGCATCCCAACTGAAATGTGCTGGGCCTGGACAGACTGACCCACACGAGACAGCTAATGAGCATGGCACTGCATTCATTCACATTTTCAGTAATCTTTAATAATCTTTAATAATTTATTCATTTACGTATCTTTGTTCAGTTGCATCTTTCAAAGTGTTGGCACATCTCTGGCGGAAGGTGCAAGGCTCCGATTTTTTCATTCCTCTACTCAGTGTGAGTTCATGCCCACACAAATTCCCACTGTGGCCCGGAGGGCTCTGACTTTTAGCCACGAGGTGGGGTGAGTAGCTAAATTCCTGATCTGAGCATGTGCGCAGCCAATGCAAAGCAGACCACCGTGGAATCGGCGTTTGCCAAGCTAAATCCCTGGAAAAAAAAAATTCCCTCTCGGCTTCAGCTTTCGCTGCTTGATCCGTGAAATGCGCAACCTTAAACCTCAAGTTTCCAAAACAAAGGCACACGGGAAAGCGAATCATGCGAAAGTGGTGGGGGCTGCCCCGCGCAGAGCCCTCCGCTCAGCCTTGCACCTTGATCGGCCAATGGAGGGGGATCGGGTTGAAAACCAGGTTGAGAGCGACTAAGGAGAGAAATAGTTATCTCAGCTGGCTTTCTCGGTAACTCTTGGAAAGTCCCTGAAATGACGTTTCTAACCTAACAATTAAAATGGGTTTAATTATAGAGAGGCTCAGAGCCCTGGGAACAAGCACCATCTACAGAATGAGTAAACAACTGCAGAAAATAATAGGCTGGTCTCCTGGTTACTTCTGGCCAAAGCAAGGAAAAGAAAAGAAACTAGAAAGAGAAGGAAATTCGAGGAACCTGATTGCTCTCCTTCAGTAAATAATAACAGTATCTATATTAAAAAAAAAGAAAAAGAGTCAGAAATCTGGAGTAGCTGGAGCCTGTGGGCGTTCCTCTCGGTTATTTTGGCTGTTGTTGAAGACCGAAGGAGGGGAAAAAGATCAGCCGCCAGCTCAAAGTCTAGGTCCTGCGACTCTAAAGCAAACAGAAGAGGAAGTGGATCGTTTGAAGTTTTGAGAACGATGGCCGCTCGGCCGGCATTGCGCTGCCCAAGGCAGGGGGCTCGCTCTTGCCGGCCAAGCCAGCCGTGGGGCCGGCCGAGCAGTGTGTGGTGCCGGGCAGCGGCAGGGGCCCCCCTCAAGCTGTCTGTGCGGGGAGGGAGAGGGCCGGGATGCCATTACTCTGCCCTGGGTGAAACACTCGCTAAAGTTATGGTTAGGGCGAACCTTGTTCGGCTGGGTGGGTTTGGGGGAAGCGGGTTTCACGCTGAGGCACCCTAGCACCGAGAAACCTCCGGGCGCTTTGTTTTTTTAATGTTTTAACTTACTTTTTACACAGAAACTGCCGCCATGCTCCCCACTCCTCCCCGCCGTATCGATATACGCATGAATCATACTTTGCGTACTAAAATCTGGAACAGATTACTTGCTCTGAGACGTTATTTTGTTTCTTTTCTCTCAGTTTTACAATGCTGAGTTCTGGGGGGTGGAAAAGGACTATGCGGGGAAAAAGGGCAGAACTCTTCAGAGACCTTTTTGAAGTGCAAACCCGTATTTTAACCATTTAAACTAACGTGGACGGGAGCTGTTTCCCCTCGCAGCGCCCTCAGCTTCCAATAAAAACCGGGAAAGAGGAGTAACACCCCCCACCCCACCACCCCCCCCCGGGGGGTGTCTGTGTCCGTGTGCACCCACACAAAGCCAGCCCCGAGCAGCTCCAGCCTCACTCCAAGCGAACAGACCCCCGCAGACCCCCCTCCCCCACCGGCCGTTGGTACTTGCGGGGGCTCACGCGTACCGGACAAGCGCGAGGCCGCTGCGAGCCCCCCCCCCCCCCGCGCGCAGGCCCCCCCTTACACGCGCACACAACGGCCTCCTTGAGGGGGGCGGGGAGCGCGGCGGCGGGGCGGGTTTTCCCCCGCTTCTGCTCTCTTTTTCCTTCCCCCCCCCCCCCCCTTTTTTTCTTTTTTTCCTTCCTTTCCCCTCTCCTTCCCTCCCCCCTCCTTCCTCACGAAAGTTTCTCCGGCCCCGCCCGCCAGGGTGATTCAGTCGCGGTGTCAATCACCCTGCCCTTCTCCCCCCTCCTCCCCTTTCCTCCCGTCGCCGGCTCCTCCTCCTGGGGGGCAAGTCCGAAACTTTATAAGTTGAGCTTTTTGGCGAACCCGCTGGAAGCGGCGGCGGGCTGGGAGCGGCGGCGGCGGGGGGAGGCAGGCTGCGCGCCGGGCGCCCGAGGCTCTGCCTTACCCACGCCGCGACTTCTTGTGTCCGTGTGCCGCGGCCGCACCCGCGTCCCCCCCTCGCTGTCCGAAGATGTCCACAGCCCTGGTGTCGCCCACCATCTTCGACCTGAGCGAAGTTTTATGCAAGGTAAGCGCGCCGTCGGGAACGGCTCCGGCGCTGTTCGCCGCCTTTCAGGTTCGAGTTTGGGTTTACAACTCTCCCCCCGCCCCGTTTACTAGCCGGTACCGAGCTCGGCTTAGAGCGGGGGCCGAGGAACCGGCGCGGATCCCCCGTTGCTGTTGCCTGCGCTTCCCTCCTCGGTCCCGCCGGCGGAGGGGAGGGCGGGGGGCACCGCCCCGCGTTCCTGGCGGGCTCAGTGGCGGGGCTGGGTCGTTCCCTTGCCCCTGGGGCCGTCGCGCTGCAACACGCCCGGGCGGGCGGGCTCGCTCCCCGCGAGGTTCTGCCGCCCCTGTTCGGCCACGCCGCAAGGGGAGCGGGGCGGCGGGGGCTGGGCGGGAGCCGCGTCCGCACTGCGGGGGGGGGGGTGGGGGGGTGTTGTTGGGGCGGGCCCCAGCGCTGCGCGCTGCCCTTCCCGCTCGCCGCCATCCCCTGGGAGGCTCTCCCAGAAAGGAGCTCCGGCCCCGGAGTTTTCTTGCATGCAGCCAGCGGCTCCCCCGCGTCTGGCGCTTGGCTCAATTCCTTACTTAGCTCTGCCAGGGCTTCGCGGGGGGACGGGGCGGGGCGGCGCGGCCCGTGGCTCTCGGGGGCAGCGGCGACCGGGCTGGAGCAGATGCTGGTGAGGAGGGCTGCCCTGTTTGGTCCGCTGCCCGGCGGCCGGAGCCGGGGGCCAGCGGGGTGCCGTTCCGTGACGCTGGAGACTCTCGGGGCTGCTTGGGGACGCCGGAGGAGGCGGTGATAGTGACCGGCCCTTGCTTTTTCTCCGCAGAGCAACAAGATGTTGAATTACAGTCCCTCGAGTGTCAGCGGGTGCCTGCTGGACAGGAAGGCGGTGGGCACCCCGGCCGGAGGGGGCTTCCCTAGAAGGCACTCTGTCACCCTGCCCAACTCCAAGTTCCACCAGAGCCAGCTCCTTACCAGCCTGAAAGGGGAGCCGGCTCCCATGCTGGGCCCCCGAGAAAGCCGCTTCCGGGACCGCTCCTTCTCCGAGGGCGGCGAGCGCCTGCTGCAGCAGAAGCAGCCCGGGGGACAGGTCAACTCCAGCCGCTACAAGACGGAGCTGTGCCGCCCCTTCGAGGAGAACGGCGCCTGCAAGTACGGCGACAAGTGCCAGTTCGCCCACGGCATCCACGAGCTGCGGAGCCTCACCCGCCACCCCAAGTACAAGACCGAGCTCTGCCGCACTTTCCACACCATCGGCTTCTGCCCCTACGGGCCGCGCTGCCACTTCATTCACAACGCGGAGGAGCGCCGCGCTGTGGCGGGGAGCCGGGAGCCCGCCGTCACCGACAGACCCCGCCTGCAGCACAGCTTCAGCTTCGCCGGCTTCCCCAGCACTGCTGCCAGCGGGCTGCTGGACAGCCCAACTTCTATCACCCCGCCGCCCATGCTGAGCGCCGACGACCTGCTGGGCTCCCCCACCCTGCCTGACTGCGCCAGCAACCCCTTCACCTTCTCCAGCCAGGAGCTGGTCAGTCTCTTTGCCCCCAGCATGGGGGTGCAGGTGCCCAGCGGGAACTCCCCCACGACCTTCTTGTTCAGGCCCATGTCCGAGTCCCCCAACATGTTTGACTCGCCGCCCAGTCCTCAGGACTCCCTCTCTGACCAGGAGGGATATCTGAGCAGCTCCAGCAGCAGCCACAGCGGCTCAGATTCCCCTATCCTGGACACCTCAAGACGTCTTCCCATCTTCAGCAGACTCTCCATCTCTGACGACTAATCTGGGGTTTCCTCTTGCCCCCCCTCCCCCACCTCTATTACAATGTTAAGCTGAACTCCTCCCACCCCATCCCCAGTAGTCTGAGCTGGATGTTAACGTGTCCACCTGCCTGCTGTAGACCCACTGGCTTAAACCTTAAGTGCCAAATTACGATGAAAAGCAATAACGTTTACAAAATTAGTGCCTTTTAACACTTTCACTGTGACTATTACCTCTCCAGCTGCAGAGGGCACCAGCAGCTCTGTGCACTTCCAGATGTGCAGGAAATGTCCGGATCCAGCTCCCTCCACTGGCCATGTACTGCATAACCCTCTCCCAGTCCCTTCCTGACTGGCCAGTTTCCTCTAGGCTGCAGGCATGTGGGCAAGTGTTAACATTCAGTCTTCTTTCTCACCTCCCCTTAAAGACTAGTCTTGCCTGGATCCGCTCAGGTCTGCGGGAAGAAAAAGCTGAAAACGGACAAAGATTGTAACAAGAGTGGGACTTTGACTGGGAGGAAGAAAACAAAACCAACAACAGCAAAAAAGAAAACAAAAACCAGATGGACTTATGAGAGACTTGATTTTGGTGCTAAAAAGTTCCCCGTGTATTCATGTGATGACATCTTAAAACAAATACAAAAATAGAGGGGGTGGGGCCAACAGAAGTCATTCCACACACACAAAAGTTCGTGTAAACAAAGTTCCAGTAGACATAGCTTTAATGGTTTTGCTCTAGAGTACTTTAGACCTATCTTAGAGCACTCACGCCAAGCTTTCTATTTTTTTTTTCTGGGTTTTTAATTTTGTATAACTTCAGAAATTGGAGAGCAGATTTTGCTTGTCACTGCACAACAATATAAAAAAGCTTATTTAACTTATCAAAACGTATTTATTGCCGAAACCTATGCTTTTTTTGTTAATTTTGTTCATATTTATCGGGATGATGAATCCATAGAATATATTCTTTTATGTTTAAATTATGATCTTCCATATTAATCTTAAGATTGTGAAGTGTCTTTTTCCTTTTTTTCCCCACAGTTTAATATATTATACTACAATGACATTTTTTGTAACTTTACACTTTTTTGGTTATTTTATTTTAAAAAATGAAAAATTAATTTAAAAAAATGCAAAAACTGTGTTTGGATTATTTATTTTAGAATTTCCCCCTTTTTTGTTTTTGTGTTGGACTGCAAATTGAGTTAATGTGCTTCTTTGCCTTTCTTCTCCTCCTCCTCTTCCCCTCCCCTGGGTCTTAACTACCTAGGGCTTTAGAATGTACATACCTGAGCTCTGTTGTGAGACAGTGTGGAAAGAAGACCTTTGTCTTCCTCTTTCTGTATAGATTCTTCAAGGAGAAAAGCCTTTGGCTCAAAGTGCCTATCTGAAGACATTCCAAATACAGTTTGTCTTTGCATTTCTGTATTCCAAGTTTGGAGTTTTCCTTGCCAAGGTGAACGGGACTGGCACAAAGAGAATGAATGTAATTAACACCATCCCCCCCGCCCCATTACTGTTCACTACATTGCTTTTTCCTCCTCTTTGTGTGAGTTTATTTAAAAGAAAATCTCTTTTGTAATGACTGTTTGCAGTTTAAATCAATAAACCCCACGTTTTTTCAAGAAACTGACAGTGGAGCTGGTTTTCCTTGCACAGATTGAGGGGTTGGTTTATAGACAGCCACTCAAATGCAGATAGTTCCCTCCTCTTGATCTGTAAGTGCCCACCCTGTGCTCAGGCATCTCTCCATCATTCCTCATGGATTCAGTGGGTCAGCCATACAAACCTATAGATGCAGAGATCAGTGGCAGCAAATAACCAGTGTGACCTGTTTCAGTGGTCTCTCACCCTCTGTCTCTTAAGGAGTCCTCCCATCTTGAGTCCTTCAGTCTGTTCTCTAAGCTTCTTTCTGATCAATGTGTCTTAAACCTTAGAGTGGCTTTTGTTCCTCCTGTGGCTTATGCTCCCTATGCAGCTCCTTCCTCCTCATGGGAAGCCTGTAAGTATTTTGAGCAAGGCTAAAGCGGGATGTTGAAGTGGCATGGATTTCCCAAGTCTCAGGCCTGGCTTGTTATTGGTACTACTCCCTTTTGGTACAGTGGTGGTTTGTGTGGGAGAGGAACGTGGACCCCCAGCGAAGTCTTCAACCTGGTATCTCATTAAAGCCTGCACACCCTTTTAAGTATCATTTGGCAACCCCAAAAACTTATGAACCCAGTGGTTTTATTCAGGGATGCTTCTGTGTCAGCGCTGGTCATGGTGTAAATCTTGTTGTTTCCACCTTTGAGCTCTCTGGAACAAGCTTGGCACTCCATCTGAAACTGTACCAGCTCTCTTCCAAATCTGGGGTGGAATATTGTTGCTGAACCACCAATCTTTCATCTGTCTTGACATGCCTCACTGTTCAGAAGAAATGTTTCCTAATTCATGTTGAAGAAATTTCTGACAAACAAAAGCTGTAGGATACCTCAAAGCTAACACCAGCGTACCTTTCCTGGGGTTGGCTTTGTGTAACATGCTTGCTTGTGTGGTCTGTCAATAAAGGTGAGCTAGGTGGAGGAAAGATGGTGGAAGAGGAGTGTGGCTGTTAGCAGCTGGTTCCCATGAACAGTGCAGAGGCTGTGCGGGGAGTTTGCCTGGGTGATGCTGATGTAACTAGCATGCAGTGCAGTCTGCGGATGCCTGAGAGAGGAGCCTGAGGCACAGCCCTAGTGCTGCTCAACAGGCCTCCAGAAACCTGTTGACCGCAGCCTTGCCCCTGGGTGTAAAGGTGATGGGGCCCACATGAGAGGTGGGCTCCCTCCTGGAAGACCTCCCGTGCCCAGGTGCAGCAAGCACTCAGGCCTGCCTCCTTGCTGACTGCTGGAAGCCATGCCATCAGCCCCTGAAGAGCAAGGTGTATCTGATCTGGAGAGGATCCCAAGTTTATCTCAAGGTGTGCAGGTGGGGCTTGAAACTGCTCACCTCCTCTCTGGACTTTCTGTGCAGGTCTTCAAGCAAACAGTCTGCCCAGTTAATAATTGATGAACAATCAAAGTTGCACGGTGCTATTGGTATGACAAACTACTGGGAAGCTGCGCTAAAAGTAGGTCTGTCTTGGTAGTTCTGTATTTCCCTCATCCTAGTGCACTGGTTCTGGGAAGCCAGCACTATTTTTCTCCTGTGAATTTATTAATGATAAATGCTCTATCACGCGGTGTTTTGCTTTTTGAAACTAGCCTTGAGCTAGGTCACACAGGGCATAGAGAAGAGCACAGAACAGGCAGCATCAGAAGTTTATTTTCTGTAACATTTTGTGAGAGAGAGTGAGGCAAGAGCTTCCAGCAATGTAGGGATTTCCCTGATTTGATACCATTAGCATTCATCATACACTTGGGTGTATGGCAGCAGCTAGTCTGGAGGGACTTCCCCTCCCTTGAGTTTACCATGGGTGAGTTGTCCATGCTGTTTCTTGTAGGGTTAGCATTTGTGTTCCCTAGCAGTTTGCCTTGGTTGGTAATAGCCTAGCCAAGGCTCAGAAGGTTTAGTAGCCTTTCCTGGCATGATGGTTTTGAGACATTCCTTTGATTTGAGGGCTCCTCCATGCTCTGGCTCATTGACTCTCACAGGAGAGTGTCACAGGACTCTCAAGAGTGGCCAGGAAGAAAGAGCTGGCTTGTGTGCTGGCACAGTTGCTCTTCTGATGTGCCTGGTGTGCTTGGGCAGAGAGAAGTACCCTCAAGAACAAGATACCTGTCATCCCATGTGAGGTGGCATGGCAGAGTATGCCTCAGTGCACTTACAGCTCTTACTGTGGGGCAGGGGGACACCTATGGTGAATTCTTACTGTTCTTCACATACTTTTGTTAGTCATGGGTATTTGCAGTGTGGGCTTCTTGTAAGAAGACTGGGTCCATGTCTCTGTGCTGCAGGTACTAGATGTCACTTATTTTTTGGCTTCTAAGTCAGATGATTAGTGCTACCCACATCCAACATGCCTGGCTGTCTCTGGAAATTACAGCCAGTGTGTATGGCTGGCTGCACCAGTTGCCTCTTGGTAAGGAGTAACAGGATGACTTTGATTCGCAGAGCTCCAGGTGGCTTAGGTCCCACTCTAGTAGCTGCCTCCCTCTTTCCTAATTCCTACAATAGCTGCAAGTGTCCCCAGGACTGTACTGGCTACTCCCTTGCTAAAGGCTAAATGTGGCTTTTGTACCAAAGCACCTTCAGTTCTGCAATCAGGGGCTGTAGAAACAGGCTGCCTCATTTCCTGAACTTCTTTGTAGATGAGGGCTGCAAAGTCAAATAGGACTTCTTTGTTGTTATTGCTGTTGTTTTTAAAGGCAGTTGGGAACTTCACTACCTAGTTTTGGCTAAGATTTGTTTATCATCACTTGAATTTAGGCATGGTGTGCCAGATTTCAACTAACAAAAAATGTCATTTAAAAAGAAGCCTGAAATGCTCCAAGTTCCCGACAGAATGTGCCTCATCAGCATAGCCATGAAATTGGGATGCAGAGTAAGAAAAAACTTGGAGAACTGGACAACAGTAGATACATGCCTGGAGGGGAGCATACAAGGGAGTTTTTGGGGAGGCGCAGGGAGGGCAGTGGTCTGCAAGGGGGACTTGGAGCTGCTATCGCAAATCATGTGGGAAGACCAGGCTCTTGCATGGCAGAGGGGCAGGAAATGATGGGTTACCATTAAAGATTGGGAACAAAGCAAGAGATAGAGATCAAGTTCACACAGCATGGAGGATAGCAGAGGTGAGAGAGAATCCATTCTGGTTCCATTCTAAAGACTTCTTAACGGTGTTTGGATGCATGAAGGCTAATGAACTGGGTCTCCAGCAAGGCTCAGGAGCATCAGCGTGGAGGGGAAGGTCTGGGTAATGTAGCCTGCTGGATACTATCTGATGACTATGCACAAGGATATGAATGAGTATGAAGATGCAGTAATACTCATGGGCAGCATGCCCTTTACACTTGCTAATTGCTGCAATTTGTGTGGCCTGTGTTGGGTAAAGCGAGCATGTGCTTGAGTCTGGAGAAAGAGCCTTTTGGGAGAAGGTCAGCGTGTGTGAGCAAAGAGGCTCCTGGCTCCAGTGCTGGACGTGTTGCATGGGCTGGAAGCTGCAGACATGCCCGGGAGTGGCAATGACACAAAAGTGTTCGGGTACCCTGCCTGGGAGGGAGTGAAGGGCTTGTGCTTGAGGGAGACTCCTCATGCCCTAGGAAACAATAGGCAAATATGAAGATGTATGGTCTTGTAGCCAGCAGTGGGGCTAGCAAGGCAGTTCTGCTGTGGCGAGTGACCAGGTGCTCTGGTGACAAACTAAAGTGTGGGGAGTGGAGTGAAAAGGGGGGAAAAAAAAGAGAGTGAAGAAGGGTGTCATCATTACCAGGGCCACACAGAAGAGGGGTCAGGAGGAGCCCATAGCAGAAGCAGTTTGAGGGGTATGAACCAGCCATAAACAAGAAGAAAACAGTAAAACCAGTGTTGGGAAGGAGTTCAGCTGGGAGGAAGGGGTGAAACCTGTCGCAGAGGGTATCTCTGGGGCTGGGAATGCTGGGAGGGATGGCGAGACTGGCTCAGCAGGGATGCTGCGAGTGTCTGCTGGGAACTCACAGAACAGCCCTCGAGCTTTAGGCCGAGTTAAGCCCAAAATGTTAGAAGATGACGTAAAATGTCCTTTGTTTGGAGACATGCTCGCCCGTTAAGCAATGCCTGTGCCTCACAAAGCCGGCGCTTATTCCCTAGAATACTTCCAGCAAAAAGAGAAAAAAAACAAGTTCCTCTAAGACACCCTCAACCAATACCTGCTGTGACTAAGCCCTGTGGGCAGCTCCACAGCTGATTTATATCCTCCTCCTCTTCCAAACCGAAGGGGTTAGAGTGGAAACAGACGCTGCGTTAAACATAGCCGAGGGCAGCGAGCAAGACAGCCCTGCACTGAGGTGGGGAGGAAGCGGGGCTGCGGGGCGGCTGCTGCCAGGCGTGACGCCGGTTCGGGTTTCCTCGTAGGCAGAACAGAGCTCCTTTTGGCTGGTGCAGCTTTATGGGCTCGCCTGGGTTTATTACACTGCAAATGTTTTGAATTCCACATCTTAATTTCCAGAGAGGCTTTGCTTCACTTTTGCTCCTTTTTTTTATTTCACTACCACTGCCTTAACCTCTTCTTTTTGACCGGGTTTTGGTCAAAGCGGCTGTTTTCTGAGCAAACAGAGGACCGGAGTTCTCCCTGCCTGGGCTCCAGCTGCAAATTAATCTCCTTTCATAGCTTCATTTTATGTACGCCCACTATCCCCACACATTAACTTAGTCAACACATGGAAGTGAAATTTTTCCATGCAGGATCCTGCGGGCTGTAAGGCTGTGTGGAGCACGTGACTGCCAGCTCCAGTTTTCTTGCACCTCTGGGTGGAAGGAAGTGTCCTCATCCCCCCCACATGTGAGTGGTTCTCGGTGTGATGTGAAAAGTTTTAACAACTGGAGTTGCTGTAAGCATTTCAGGGTTCAGCATTTCTCTGTGTGTTTAGAGTCTGCCACACCAGCTGGGCAGAGGCAAAGCCATAGGTACGGTATGTCTGCAGTACCTCTGGTCCTACCAGACCACTGGTCAGCAAAAGAGCCGATGGGAGGTTCGTCAGTGGAGTCATTCTGTCTCTGTGGGGTTTGTCTCCCTCCCAGAGAGGACAGAAAGTGCAAGAGATGCTGATGCTGACAAAGACGGCTGGAGTCTGCTTGGCCTATGTAGCGATGCACTTTGTACTTCCTTATGATGCCTTTCACACATGGGCCTGGGAGAGCTTGACAGGTATTTTGGGCACTTGGCAAACATAACTGTACCTATTCCTTAGGTTTTAGAACCCTGTTGGATACATGACTGTTAAGTGAAGGGGATTGTCTGGCAGTGGCACAGTATCACAGAAAGAGCTGCAAAAATACTTTAGGACTCCTGATACTTTTTCTCCTGTCTTAGTCTCCAGGCAACAGCAAATATTTCTCCTGAATACTCTGGATGAGCAGATGCCAACGTTGATTCACAGGAAAAGGATGTAGCCACGCAAGCCATAGAAATGTTGTTTGGGATGGTAGCCACAGCCCCTAAGGAGACATTAAGCAATGTGGAACAAACGCCAATGAAGTTATTTCTTGAAGCTCTTGCTTTGTTTGCTATAAAGAGATTTCTTGAGCAGTCTTATGTGGGAGCCATCGTGATTACCTTGATTACAGCTCCACAAAGAGAATATACTGTGTTTCCCAGCTCTGGAGATGCTGCAAGGGCTTTTGGACACTAGAATAGTCTGGGGTTACTAAGAAGTTACAGTCACAAGAAATGAGGAAAGGTTTTGTTGAAGGCCAACATCAGAGTGTAAAAGGTGCACTTTTGCATGGAAAGAGGACAGGGCTGAAAATATACAAAGAGGCTCCTTGTTTATTTTCTCTCAGCCTCAGATCTTCTGTGCTGTGTTTACAAACAACCCCATTTTCCGCATGATTAGACTTACAAGTTTATCATGGGATTGAAAAGCTGACGGCAAACTTAATTCACCCTTTCTTGATGGTGCCCAGCCGAAAGAGCTTGGGGAGCTGCAGAAAAGCGTTTTCCTCTAAGTTTAGGTAATGTGGCTTTGGATTCACAGACTGAGTCTGCTGACCAAGACATTTTCCTTCGGCTGGCACCCTTCTGACCAGAAAAACACTCTCAGCCTGGATGAAAACAGAACTGGAGATGTTGTCCAAACATCTGGCAGTTTGTTTGAAAAGCGAGCAAGAACTTGAGGGCAGGCAGCTGGGGGGAGGCCAGTGGTGTCATGGTGGAGGCGGGAGACAGCAGCCCATGGGGTTATCAGTGTATCATCCAGGCTGGCAGGGACTTGCAGTGAGTCATCCAGACCTTCACTCTTAACTGTGGCAGGGCTGATCTCATTATCCACAAACCACCTCTCGTGCACATTGTTGTCTAGCGATAGCCTGAAACAAACGTCTCCAGCACCGATGCGTCCACGGCAATCCTTTGTCAGGAAGTTTCAACACTCAGGCTATTTTAACCTCTCAATATGTAGCCTAATGCTTAACCTGAATGTCTCCTGTGAAGGTTTGTGGCCATTAACTTCGCATCCCATCCCCTTCAGTCCTTGCAGAATGGCATGTGTGTTTCATCTTTCAGCTTTCCTGCCAGTTATGCCCTTTCCCAGTCTGTTCCCAGAGGATTTGCTTTTCCAAACCTTTCTACTTCTCTTTTCCTACGCCTGCTCAAAAATAAGATGTCCTAAATCCATCCTGAACTTTAATTTTCAGCCTGGTTCTGCTCTCACTGTTGCTGTCCTGTCTCTGGTTCTTGTGGAGGCAAGTTCAACCTTCCTGGCCTAATCTGTGACGAGGACAGGAAAAAAGCACTATATCAAATTATATTGTTTCTGTTAGGAATACAATGGGATACAGAGTTTGACCTCTTGTCACAGCACTGTGCTGCCAAACAGGGCCCTGCCCCGTTACTCAGGGGTGTCCTGGCTCCCTTCACACAGACCGACAGTGATGGGTGTTTGGTTCTTGGGACTTTATCCCTACTGGGTGTATGTATGAATATGTATGTGTGCATAATATCTAGCTCTGGTATTAGCCCTGTGCTTTGTGGCACCCAAGACCCTTGGGAGCTCACCAGCATGCTCTGATGACGCTGTGCTTCTGCCCTACCGTTTTCCTTCCTGAAGGAGAGACACTCATCCCTGTCCCTGGGGAACATAAGCTTTGAAACATGAGTTGATGTGTTTTTACTTACCATTATCTCAGTTTACATAAATTACAGTGCTTAACAGTGGCCATAAAATTATCCAGCCTTAAAAAAAAAATCAGCTGTTGAAATTGGCTCTGTGACCTCCCTGATCAGCTCATTTCCAATGGGCAAACATGCAGTGGGAAAAGAAACAGTCCTTTCTTGTTCGTCACAAATGTTCATCTGCCTCTTGTATCAGCAGCCAGCTTCCCTGCTTTCCTAGTGTTGGTCGGTATAGAAAAGTACATCAAGCCTTTCACTGTATGCTGCTTCACCATTCTGAATAACTCTGACAAGTTGTTTAACTCAACTAAATCATCCAGCATCCCCCACCAGCAGCCAACACACCTCTAATATTTGACAGTCAGGTTCTGCCCTGAAAAGGGGTTTTCTTGACAAAGCAGTGATGATTCTGTTTCAGGGATATTGGATCACCTCTGGGTGCACTGCAGGTGAAATACTTTCTCCAACATGTCTCATCTGGAAGCTGAAAGGCAGCCTGTCTGGTTTCATTAATTGCTTTTGACCTGTGTCAGTATTTAGGCATTGAATCTGTCCTCTGTCTGAAGAAAAAAAGCAATCAAATCTTATTTCAGTTGCTAATCAGAGAAACTATTAATCTAAATACGCATAAGGAACAGATGAGCTGAACAACCAGCAGTATCAGATAGACACTTTTCCATCAATGGTACCTGCACTGTACTTTTGTGAGCAAGTTGGACAGGATGGCGCAGATCCTTGGGTCCTTCTTACTCCTGACTCCAGGAGGGAGGGGCAGCCTGTAACACTGTTGCCTATCATGTCTTTATGTCTACTTTATTGTCCGTAAAAAAACTTTGCTCTTTGGGTTATGATGTTTATTTCCTCTAACAGTCTTTATAAGAGGCCTTATCAAAATTGGTGTAAAAAGATGGCTGACCCACAGCATGTTTATTGGGTCATCTTTATCTGCTCTTCCCCTGTTTTTTTCCTTACTCAGTGTGTGACTCTGTCATGAACCTCTGATAAGACCATAGTCCTGTGTCCCACAAGCAATTCAGCCCTGAGCACCCCAGGAAAGTCAGCAGACGGGCGCATGAGGTGTAAGTGGGCAAAGTCAGAGGGCACAAGACGGCAGTTTTGGATCTGTTCAGATACAGAGCCCACTTGATGCTTTCTCTGAGCACTGCAGGGAACAGGGAGCTTAAGATGGGCTTCAAAAGGTGAGACAGGCAGCAACCTGTCTGGAGTGGGTTTGAGCTCTGGGTCGCGCAGTGCCCATTATGTGGGTCAGGCCCTTGGCCATTGGCTTCATGGGGTAGAGGGAAGGCTCTTTGCCCCTGCAGTGCTCATCACTGACACTGGCTGAGGAGAGCAGCCTGCCATGGCCACCCTGCCACTGAGGGGGCTCTGGAAGTGGAGGTGGCAGGGGCAGCCGGGGCAGAGTGAATGACCCTGTCCCCCCAGACAAGCCTAAGCAGCGTGTGGCACGAGCAGGCTGGGGGCAAATGGCAATCAGGTGCTCATTTCGCTTCTTCATTGTGCTTCTTCCTCCTGCCTGCAGCCCTGCTCAGCACCCGCTCCCTGAGCTGAGGGCTGTAACATCCTGCTCGCTGTCTGGGGCTCCTCTGCCTGCACCTTCCTCCAGGAAGACGGGGGCAGCAGGATGTGCGCTGTCTCTCCCAGTGGCTAGACCAAAGGATTTCAATTTCCCCAATGTGTGGACAAGCCACTTGCCTCCCGGCCCTGTAGGTTATCAGCTCTACCGAGAGGCAGAAACCAGCAGGAGCATGTCACAAGACAAGGTGAAAGCCCACCAAGGTCCTGCAGCAGGCTGGAATGAGCTCTGCTCCTGCAGGGTGTTCTGTGGTTTTGCCTCACTTATCCTTTGCAGGGCTAGGACCTCCCGTCCTTCATGTCCTAAAAAGCTTGTAATGAGCTACTCTCTAAAAGCCCTGAAGAAGTTCAAAGGGTGTGCTGAGTCCATCTCCTCTGGGGGATGGAAAAAACCCAACACCCATGCATTGCTGTAAGTACCGACCTACACAACCTCGTCTCACTGCTAAGGCCGCAATAGCTCTCACACACAGCACAGATCGTGCCTTTGCCAGGTCAGGTTTTTGCTGCTACAGTAACACACAGGCACTAAGCTTCCCCACTGGGTTCTAGAGCATTTATTTAGGTAGTGAAATGGGCTCACTCTTCATTAAAAGCTGGTGGACAGTGTGGTTCAAGATGATAATTTGTATAATTAGGATTATTTTTTTAGAAGTACATTGTGCACCTTTTTCTGGTACATAGAGACTGACTGTGAAAGGCCAGAGAGTGGAAACATGGATTACTTCAGTTTTTACATGTCTGTTCTGTGTGGTCCCAGTGGTAGGATTAGGACTGCCATGACTCTCCCATGGCTGACAACAAGGGGTGACTGGGAATCCAGCCTATTCCTCTGCTCCATCTAAGCGAAATAAAAAAAGTAAACAAGGAACAGGAATGCAAAAAAGTAAAATCCAGTCCAACTCCAGCTAAAGGCAATGTACAAATCCCTTTTTAGTGCTCTTTGACACACAGAACTGGTCCTGAACAGTTATCATTTGGTCTGCTAGTAAACCAGACCATAATATTCAATATCAAGTAAACTAGGAAAAGAGGAAGAAACCACATTTCAGGACTGAGCATCTCAACAGTGTGGAAACAAGTTCTGGCAGGGGCTGGAGCCTTCAACTCCAGCCAAAGGCCCATACCTTGCAGGCTGTGCTGGATTTCAGGTGCTTCCCCAGTGCAATGGGGGAGTACTAGATGAGGGACCAGGAAAAAACCTGGCCCAGAAACTGTCTATACTTTGTCCAGCTCTGAACAGCTGTTTTGGGTCCTGCTCTTACTCACTTTGTAAAAAGTTAAATTGAAAAGAAAGGTGAGGTGAGAGTGAAATTGAAATCAAGAAGAGAAACAAAGTCCCAAACATGTTTTTGATAGAGGAACTGGGGTTTTGAACCCTGGCGCTGTTTGGCCTTTCAGGTTGTCCTCAATCTGTTGCGTGCTGAACATAGAGGACAGCATGGTGGAAATACCTGTGAAGCAGCAAGAGCCTTATCAAGGCACTGTACCAGGAAATGCACCGGTCTCTTGGCTACCTCATGCACGATACTATGGTTAAACCCAACAGCATGCCTCATCATAACATGTGCCTTATCGACCTCACTATCTGATGACAACAGCAGCCCTCAGGAGACCAGACTGACATCATCCAAAACCTCAATAGTTGAGAGCAAAGGCTGAAGTGTGTATCTAGGCTACAAGCTGTGCTTGGCTCTGTTGATCTGTTTGCACTGAACTTGCAGGCACTTTGCTAGAGGAAGAAGAACATAAAAATCAAGTTCCAACAGCTGTTTCAGAATGTTTCTCACAGGCTACCATGCTATTTAGCAAATGAATGCCGCAAGCGG